ATCTTATTACTTATGAAAAGAAAGTATAATGCGCATAAAAATGAAAGGCTTTTATTAAACCAATAATCAAACAGGTATTTCTATTTTTCAACAATTTTTGAAATATCCTGATACTATATGTTATATATTCAATATTCTTGATTGGTATATTTTCATCATTTGCCTTTATTGATTTAATTATTTTTATAAGTAACAAGTACGTACATCTAGCGTAATTGATAAAATAAAAATCAAGGAAATTATGCAAAATATTACAAGGAACAGGACGCCTATATTAAATAAAATTAAAATAGTATGCTAAATTTTATAATCAAATAGCAATATTATAAAAAATTAAAGACAATATTTTCATGCATAAGTGTGTGAAAAAAATTAATAAAGCGACGTACAAAAGTGGAACTGAACGAAACAATAGGAACAGTTTCATGAATCAAAAATTCAGTTAATCAACCTTGAATTTAGTTCGCATGTCTGGGTACGTCTATGTTACAAACATTACAAATTCGTATTTTTTCGCAGACTACCGATAAGAGTTTTTTTCGTCATAGCGCTAATTTGTGATCCAGATATACAACATAAATTACATTGAGCTGTTTGTTATAACTTCGTAAAAAAGTAAAGTAAGACTTGTCAAAATTGCGTAACGTTATTTTATCAATGAATATACGACCAATGCGCAGTGTACTAAATTTAAACGTAATCGTTAGCGCGGTGCGGAAATGCAGCAGCGTTAACTTAAAAAATTTTTCAACGATAGCGAAAGAATGCGTTGAAATAAAAATTCCAGTTCCATGGGGTCACATAGCTGCAAAATGGTGGGGATCCCAGAACGAACGCCCAATTTTGAGTTGCCACGGTTGGCAGGTATATTGTCTTAAAATAATTAATTTTTAATATATAGTATGTCGAAATTAAATATGTATGATAATATATAAAAAAAAACAATTGAATCCCCCCTATAATTCTCGCTGACATTTAAAATTTTTTAATATAGGACAACAGTGGAACTTTTGACCGCTTAATACCCTATCTCCCATCGGACGTAAGCCTTTTAGCCATAGATTTTCCAGGCCATGGATATTCTTCCCGCTTGCCATTGGGAATGTGGTATAACGGAATGGATTATATTGTCGTTTTGGAAAGGATAGTGGATTATTTCAAGTGGCCCAAAGTATCGTTAATGGGCCATTCTTTAGGAGCAATTCAGTCCTATCTTTATTCAGTACTTTTTCCGGAACGAATTGAGTTCCTCATTTGCTTAGATGCCTTTCACCCTTTTCCTACTGACGACTACAAAACAGAAGACTTTCGCAAAAATATAACACGTTATCTCAAATACGATAATCTATGTGCATCAAATACCGAACCACCCAGTTACACCCCTGCAAAATTATCGGAAATTTGGCACGAAGGCAGTCGTAAATCAGTAGATGTGGAAAACTGCAAATATATATTAGAAAGAAATGTTATGCCTTCGAAGACGAAGCCAAATCACTTTTATTTTACACGCGATCCGAGATTAAAAATTGGTGTAAAACACTCATTTTCACAGAAACAAATTGTAGAACAAGCTTCCAGAGTGCGTTTTCCAATATGTGTTTTTAAAGCTAACGATAACGATTTCTCTAGTGCTAGCCCGCTTACGTATCAGCTTTTAGATATTATTAAAGAAAATACTAAAGATTATTATTTTCTCGAAGTGGGAGGAACCCATCATGTTCACTTAAATAATCCAGAAAGAGTGGGTCCCCACATTCACAATTTTATTAAAAAGTATTATTCGTGTAATCTTCAAGCTGAGGAACATCTTTAATGTAAATTTTAATTAAATTAATTAATAGCAAATGTTATGATGCTGGATCATCGTTAAGGTTTTTTGTGATTAATAAATGTTGTACATAATATCGATATTATAATCTTTGTGTTATTATTTATTCTCCTGTATGCCCAAAAAGAAGTTAACAGCACTATATTCATTATTTACTGCATTCTTAACATTTTAAAACCTTTTAAATATCGCAAGTATTGCCATAGTTCTGATAATACGTTGTATGTAGTATAAGTATTTTGTACTTCTTCGTTTATTTCTTTACCTTGGAATATTTGTGTTTAGATAATTTTTGAATTTATTCCAGAATTCGAAGTTATAAGAAACACTCAAAACGTATACGTAGATACTTCGTACATAGTGTGTTATTCAAGCGCTCCAAGTAACAGTAAAAAAAATAAAAGTGACTGAGCACTTTCCAAAACAAAACTTGTACTTTGAACTCGTTCACCTTATTACAAATATTATCGTCATCACTGTTATCAGTTAGAATCATTCCGGATAGTACAAACTTTTGAAAAGTTCAAATGTTCTTCAAAAAAGCGCTTTTCTGTTACTTAAACAAAAATACCGTAGCTGCTCGCAAAATAGCCACAAAGAGAGAAGTCTGTGAAATTCGTATTCCTGTACAATGGGGTCACGTTGCTGGTAAATGGTGGGGGCCCAGGGACAAAAGGCCGATCTTAGCATTACATGGATGGCAGGTTAATGTTTTACTCAATCTTATCTGGTTTTATTACGTAAAATGTATTTCGGTCTACGGTGAAAGAAGACAGAACCGTACTCGACTATTTTAATTCTCATTAATATTTTTTTAATGTATGCAGTAACATATTAAATCACTTTAGTTCATATAGCAGATTTATTTGTTTAATGATAAGTATTAAATGATAGGATTATTAATAAATTTCTAATGAATTCTTTTAGGATAATGCCGGTACATTTGATAGATTAATACCATATTTACCATTTGAAACGCCCGTTTTGGCGATAGACGCTCCTGGTCATGGCTTATCTTCACAAATACCCCATGGAATGACGTATCATGGTACAGATATATTGCGATTACTATATGAAATTGTACGTTTTTTCGAATGGTCTAAAGTTTCATTTTTGGGCCATTCCATGGGTGCAATTTTAAGCGCTCTTTTTACAGTGCACTTTCCAGATCTGGTAGATTTTATTATTTGTATTGACAATTTAAAGCCCCTTTCTCTAAGGGAAAATGCCAAAGACTTAGAGGCAAATGTAAAAGAAATGGAATTATTTATAAAATATAATCAATTGAATTCCTCAGCTTTACAACCTCCAGTTTATACATGGGAAGATTGTGTAAAGAACTTATCGGAAGGAAGTAAAGGATCAGTCTCAATAGAATCGTGTAAATACTTGCTTTACCGAAATCTAAAGGAATCGCAAACTGAACCAAATAAGTTTTACTTTACAAGGGATCCACGAATTAAAGCAATGAATGTGTCTAAAATCAATCAAACTCAGAGTGTTGAGTATTACAAAAGAATAATTTGTCCAATTTTAGTATTGAAAGCTGATAAAAGTCCATACGATCGTAATAAAGAAAAATTTTTCGAAGTATTAGAAGTTGTTAAAAAAAGCAGTAGGGGTTGTAAATTCTTTTACGTGCCTGGAACTCATCATGTTCATTTAAATAATCCTGAAGTTGTAGAAGGTCACATAAATGATTTTCTTAAAATTTATGATACAGGTAATAGAGGAGGTATTCCATTAAAAAAAGAAATATTTTTGTAATAAAATGTAACCACATACTACATTGGTATTGTAAATTTGTTATTTTTTTTTCAGTACATTATGAATAGTTTCTTATAAATTATTTGTTTTTATATTTTAAGGATAAAAATAATCAGTGTACAAAAAGAATTTCCGTGTCAATTAATTATGTCGATAATTTGCCTTAAATTATTAGTATTTTATTACTTAGATGAAATATTGTGCTGAAAACTATACAATAAACAATTTTTTTATATTTCTCATTTTTTATTTTAATTCCTGTGCTCTTTTAAAATCGTATTTTATTGTTTTAATTCAAACTAAATTAGAAAATTGTTGGCGCGAAAACTACTTTTAAATCCAGAAATTAATCAGTACAGTATGCAACCCGGTGTACAACAGTGTATGTGAAGTTGTATATGCACACTATTAAATGTTTCTTTTCTTTTTTATTATGAGAATACAATTGGTAAAGGGTAAAATGAAAGAGCTTTGATTTTGTAGTAGTAATAGGGTTGATTCTGTATAAGTAAAATTATAATTGAAAAATAAACACCGAAATAAATAAACTAATAAACTAAGTGTACCTCGAATTAAATTGAAATTGTTTCCTGTAGTTGATGCGCTTGCGCTACTTTACAACTGCAATGGCCGTCAAACGAAGTTTTTAATTTCTCGGAGGTAAGAAATTAAATATGTTTGAATAAAAATGTTTCCTAGAAGTCATACAATTGGCAAAATAGTGGTAATAATTATTGCTAATTATTACGGTGTTCATAATACTTTTTTTCGCGATTTATTTGTTTTTTGCATTTTCGATAATACTTCCTCCGAAGTTATGACCCCAGTATTTGTTAATTTATTATTCTTCACAAAATATTTGGTTTTATTCGATTTTGCCTAATTTCTCACATGTATACGCTATTCTACGTTATTTAGACGCAATTTAATATATTTTCGATTTCATTTTTACAGAAAACAATTGTTATTAGTGGACCCCTTCCTAATATAACTTTAGAAGAAGAATCGATTTTAGAGAGAAAATATGACTCTTTGGGTTTGACCAACATACTTAGATTGGAACAGATTGTTTAGAATGGTAAGATTCTCTGAATTTAATAAATGAACTGCTTTTATAATTAAATAATTGAACTGCTTATTCTAATGATTATGGTAGTTACTTTCCTTTCATTTGTTTTTCAATTTTTCCAGTGTTGAGACAAATGAATAATATTAATTGGGTTAAAGGAACCGTAAAACGGACAATTTTAAGTAAACAAAACTTAATAATCAGTTTTGTCGATTTTAAGGCCCTTTTACTTTTTATTTGATTTTTTGATTTTTAATGATTCTGTTTTTTGCTATCCTTTTACAGTCTTATTTGTTGAGATTGTTTAAGTCACTAATTATTGTTAGTTTAATGATAAGTATAGCAAAACAGCAATAATTTGTTATAATCAGTCATTTAAATTTTTTAAACAGGAGACTTTTGTAATTACGAGTATGTCCGGCGTAATTCGTTTAAGTTCGTTTTGACTGCTCTTCTACTCCTTGCAGACGCCAGAGAAATGGTTTAATTCTGCAACCACCAAGACTTGTGAAAACTCGAAATGTTGATCAAAATTGCCACGTATTTGCATATGTTTTTGTTATTATTAATTACAAATTGCAATTTAATCTGGGCAACATCCCCAAGTGTTCCTTGGTACGAAGATTTACCTGCCGTTGCTATGGATTATAAGGTTCACATAGACCCTGGTAAAGAAGATTGCTATTTTCAATATGTTAACCCCGGAGCAACATTTTATGTTAGCTTTCAGGTATGTTAATAAATATTTAACGTGAATTTCAATAATTTACACTCGTTTTAACTCATAAGATAAGATAACAATAATAACTTATCTTTAAAGTTGAAAAACTTGAAGTGGCTTGTGTCACATATTTTTCACCCTTTTAACAAATGTTTATAAAACAAATGATAACAATAAGTTTTTCTATAATGCTTTGTAAAAATGTAAATTTATTTCTATTTACTTTTAATTAATAGGTCTTAAGAGGGGGCGATGGTATGGCTGGTTTTGCTGTTCGACATCCCTCTGGCCAAATAGTCCATCCTTATCAATGGAAAGCTAACGGTGAATATCAAGATCAAACCTCTGTAGGTGGTTATTATTCTGTTTGCATTGATAACCAATTCTCGAGGTTTGCTGACAAACTTGTTAACCTTTACTTGACTGTAGTAAGATATGATCTGTGGGACAAGTATGCTAAAGAAATTGAAGCCACCAATATGAATATGGAAAATTTTACGGTAAGGATCATAAATATGAATTAGTTGTTCAGTTATATTTCCTTCAAAAGTTTTAGATTATATCTTCTTTTGTCTATTTAATAAAATAATTAGTTTTTCTTTATGTTATTTTTAGACTACAATAAGGACTGCAGAAATGAATATAAACACAATGCTTCAATTTCTCCACCATTCAAGAGGCTTGGAAAGTCGTGATTATAATCTTTTAACTGCCAACAACTCGTATGTGTTTAGGTGGTCATTAATACAAATTTTAGTTATTGTGGGAACCACAGCACTTCAAGTCTACTTTGTGAAAAAACTTTTTGACACAAAATCTGGTTCCAGCAAAACAAGAATTTAATACCGTTTATTGGTGCATTATTTTTGGAAAATGTAAGTGATCTGAATATGTTTTCGCGTTGACAACTTCTAACCGTTCATTTGTAAATGTTGCCATTAATTCATAGTCCATGTAATTATGTAATTAATTTTATAATTCTTTTTTTAATTGGGCAGTCACAATTTTACACAGGCATCAGTATAATTTGCATTTACCCATTCATAATGGGAAGAAGCATTTCTGTGATCAATATTGTTGTGTGTGGAAAACTTTAAAACTTTTATACATTTTTTTCTTACAAAAATCTAATTATTTTTTTTTGTACTGTTTTTTGTTAATATTGGAGATCGTTTATATATTTACTGGTGTACTACACGTATTTTACTAAAAGTTTTTTATTAATTTGAAATCGTGTAAAATTATTGTATGCATATACAGGGTCTGAAAATAAAACATGACAGTCGTTATTTTTGAAAAATATTCAGATTTTTTGTTATGAGAAACTTTATTTCCTTTATTTTTAATTAAACTTAAAACTCGTGGTTGGATAGGAATGAGCATGTAAGTTCCAAAATATTTGTAAAAGTTACTGCTATTGTAACTGATTTATCTTTAAATATTGCAACAGAAATTGTACTGCTTTTTAAGTATATGATTTATTTTAGTTAGGCGTCAATACAAATAAAACGGTAGGGGTTTTAAGTTATTTAATAAATAGCAATGATTTTTTGTAAAATAGAAAGCTACGTTTGAAAACTCTTAAAAGAAATCGTACATGACACAAAAATTAAATTGTGACATTTACAATTATGTTTGGTGCTTTTACGTGCATAAATTTTTGAGATTTAAAATTAAACTAGTCTAGATTAAAAAGAAATATTTATTTGAAAATATAATATAAACGCAATTCATTTTCATTTTGCGACACACGCCAACATAGAATAAATGTGCCACATAAGTGTGTGCATAATATCACCAAAATACAAATATACATATGTAGATATCAAAATATTTCAGAGATTAACAATTTATACAACAGCGCTATACACACGGGGTATTTATTTATTATTATTTACATTAAACAATTTTTGACACATTAAAACCACTTGATGGCTTACAATTAATTATTTTGACTTTAAATAACTCTCTGATAAGGCCAACAGTCTATATCTTTGTCTTAAGTTTCTCGCTCTTACGTGGGGGTTAGCTACTTCGACGGTATAATTAGAAGGAAACCACCCACTTTGACCATCTCGAATTCTTTCCCCATGATACCAACCTGAAATAAAGGACATAACTTTATATACAATTTATAATTATGTATTTAATTCACTACAATTTTTTGGGAATATGAGCCACCAAAGTAAATAAGTGTGGATTTTTCTTGTTATTACTTTAGAGATGCAACCCCCTTTTTTTCTAAAAAATAGGGGAAATAATATGAAAAATTTGGACAATTCAAGTGAACATTAGATTATATTTATTTATTTTTTTTTTAATTCGGCCATGTGATTTTTTAATGTTTCTTTGATAATTTTTCTTTAAATTTTTACCTCTGTTGACTGTTTCATGTAATTTATGAAATTAATTACACTTTTCGTTTATACTGCTAGTACTCAAGAACAATGCATACTAATTCATTAACAAATTTTCTGGCCTTATTGCAATTATCTTTTGAATGTTTCATACTTTAAATGTGCTCGTTTAATTTGTTTTTGAAATTTAATTGTTTGTTCCAATTCTAATTTTTCATTTTCGAAGTTTTTTGTAAAAAGTAATTTATGTATAAATTTTGCGTTAAAGATTTCAGATACTGTTTTGCAAATTCTCATAAGATTTATAATTATATTCTGTCGTAACTTTTAGAAAAGCGAAATTAATCAAAAACAGGAAGAATTAGTTGGAAAAGAGAGGAATAGAAGAAAGTTGTGAAAAAAGACGTAAAAAGGAAGTTAAAAGGAGAAGTTGCATGTCTATAATCTTTAGAGGTATGTTCTATAACCGTGTAGGTTTATTTCTTAGTTTTTATTTTAATTTTAATAACCAAACCGTGACGTACCATCTGCCATTTTCCTTGTCACGTTTAGAACGTCTCCTCGTGACAAACTCAATTCATCAGGTTGATTTGCTACATACGAATGAACAACAGTCACCTGAGGACAATCCCAACATTCATATAATGTCTCATTGGGATCCTCGGATTTTGGCTGAGATAAAGCCTCTATCCATCTTTCTCTATCGCTTTCACTAGCACAAGACAATAACTAAAAGAATATAATATTTTTTATACATTATAGTAGAAAACTACATATAATGAACTTACCATTTCTACCGTTTTACCATCATGATTTTCTAGTAACGTTAGAAAAAATAAATTTCTTCCCTGCACGTCTTTTGTAGGCATTGATGGTATTATTTCGTTTATATTTAATTCGATATAACTCCTCATACAGTAATGTAAAATGTTATACGAATCGTCTCTAACAAACGATAAAAAAATAATAAGCAAAATAATAAAAACATAGTTGACACTATGATAATAGTGCATTTGAATTTCAGTTTAATGCAGCAATTAATTAAATTATTAATTACAATATACAACAAAAATTATTATCTAGGAATCCTAGATTGTAATATATGAGTCAAAGACGGTTTCAAAGTTCCAAAAATAAGCAATTGACAAATTTCCAGGATATTAACATTATCTGACTTACCCTTTAGATTTGGTGACAATTAGCATATCGTTAAATAGAAATAGATAGAGAGGAATTTTTAAGAATCTTTTGCCAAAAGTAAGTTTGCTGTCGTCATTTCTTGCTACCATTTGAGTAACAGGTCCCGATCTAACTAGCCATCGATTTTCAATTGCTATTTTGAAAGGGGCCATATTTTTACTGAATTCTAATTGATCTTCGATTTTTTTCATTTCTGTTATTCTTTCCATTCTTCGAGCACCTTCGTTACATTGAGTAACGATCTGAAATAAAACAATTATGCCATGTTAAAAACAAGGGGTGTGCGAGATAGTTTATGTTTAGATTTTAAGGGTAATAGATAGAATTAATCGTTTTATGGTTTAAAGCATTAGAGAATAAATTACAACCTTTAAGACACAAGAAATGTTTACAAAATTAGCTTACAACTTTTTCATGTGATTTTCATCAAAATTTACGACTTATACCGAAAAAAAAAATGAGATACGTAAGAAATGGTAGAATTTAATAAATTATAACTTTCATTTGTTGTATAAACGATGAATATATATAGTGTAAAATACATTTATACTGTGTAAAGTCGTGCTTTGTATAAGCAAACCAAAAATTAAGTACCTTATTTATCGTGGCCAATGCATGTTGGCAAGGAAGGAATTCACTGTCCTGTGGAGATAATCGTTTTAAAAGGGCATCTAAAAGAAGGGGCCATCGGGTAATTCTTTGCATTGGAAGCATTAAAAAAGAATAAAGCGTCAATGATTGACATGCATGACTAGATTCCAAATGTTTTAACAACTCTTGGCAGTTTGGTCGATCTCTAAAAGAAATAATACATATTAACCCCGTTTACATAACAACTGTGTAATTAAACGTACTTTATTAGCTGTAATGTTCGATTTAATAAAATTTGATTTTCGCAGTATGAAACGTAGACGTAAAAATTTTCCTCGGTATGTTTTTGAACAATTTCACATATACCATGAAGTAAAATATTATCCTGCCAACATTTTTCCAAATCTAGTAATAGTTTCTCGGAACATTTCTTTACTAAAAATCAAAAGAAAAAAATACAGTTAAAAATAAAGAAAACGTAAGCGTACATGTAGAAAATTACCAGCAGGAATTTTCCCATATAAAATTTCCTTCTCTTCCTGTGTCAATAATTCACTTTTATCCAGATTTTTAATGAAATGATCGGTTAAAACACTTAAAGAGTTCAAATATGAAGCTTCAGAAGTCATCATTTCAAATTTGGCTTCTTGAATTTTCTTTTGATGCGTACTCAGTGTACCTGTGAAAAAAGTAATTATTCTTGTTGACTATAAAAATTAGAAATTACCAAAATAACTTACTTAGCACTGTGGACTGGAGAACTTCGGGTATTTCGCACCACAAGGTCCGTGCAACCGTAACGCCATTACGATTTGGTGCTATAATTTGCATTGCAGTTGGTCTTGAGCCTGAGTACGTTTCGTAATTTTGTCTTTCACCAACTTCTTCGTAACCATCGTAGTCAAAATTCGAAGTGGCGTCTTTGCAAACAACCTAAAAAATATTTTCTTTCTGTCCAAGTTTGAAAACATACTGGATTATTATTTAAATCTCAATGATTATGATTCTTATCGATGCTTAGGTTTGGAGTGAAGGGTCAGGACTTTACTAAGTCTGTTTTCAAGATATATCTATACCCTTTAGGTAGAATTAAAAAGGAAATAAATAGTTTACTTAGCCTTTTCTATTTAATTAATAAAGATATTACCGTGGTGCAAGAAATAGCTTATAGTAGACAGAACAAACTCTAAAAATTAGTATCTTTATTAAAGTTTTCGTAAAATTATAACAAATTTTGTATTTTTGTATATTAGTAGTTAGAAAGAAGTGATATTAGAAAGAATAGGAGAAGACAGGACTCTATGGAAGTCAATAAGAAATAGGCGAGATAGGTTAGTAGGACACCTTTTCAGGTTGAAGGTCTAGTCAGAGACATATTAGAGGCAGAAACAGGAGTTAGGAGGGGTAGAGGTAGACAAAGATTAGATTACTGTTCGTAAATAGGTTGTTCTAGTTTCAGGAAAATGCGAAGATTAGCTCAGGATAGAAAAGAGTGGAGGTACGTGTCCAACCAGTCTTAGGACTGACGACCTTATGATAATGATGAGTAGTTTTTCAGATAAATATTCCTTTGTCAAATTTTAAGCTCGGTTTCTGGTAATAACGGATGGTTTAATAAAATTTTGAGATGACACACTAGGAGTTTTCTTACCTCCAAGATTGCAGCATTATAGAACTGATATAACGGCTCATCTTCCAAATGTAACTGTATATCGGTGTGAGGTACATCTAAATTATTTTCAGTCTTGGTTTCGCTGCTGCTAAAGCTGTCAATACTTCCGTTGTAATAGTTGCTTTCTTCTTTGTTCTTGAAATTGTAATACTGTTCGTTAATTTTCTGATCCAAATTTTCGTTTACGTTATTTTGGATGTTAATGTTGGTGTTGGTTCCACTATTTTCGGCGGAACTCGTGCTAGGAGTACTTCCTGAAGTGTTGTAAAGACCTATTTCGGCATACCAACTTGTCGAAGGACTTTTGTTAATAATTTCCGTACTTTTGAAAAGACTATAATCTGAGTACCAGGATGATGTTGACTTACTAGTAGATTTTTTATCTTTAAAGAAAGTAAATAAATATCTTATTAGTAAGGCATATATTTGGGGGTATGCGATAGCGTTTGAATGGAATCGAATTTGGAAAATATTTGAAATTATGCTTCGATTTTTTACAAATAAATGGAGTTGTTTTAAGATAATTCGCATTTTTTCTGTATTATTAAATTCGAATCGAATATCATTATTTGATTTGCCCAATTATAATTATTATTTCAAATATTTCCATAAGTTTAATGTGATTATTGAAGCAGAATTAATTAACCAAATATCTAGTATGACTTGGATAAAACAATAAAATGCTATAAATTTTAGTTTATGTATTGCAGGGGTAGATAAAGTTAAAAGGGCGTCAGAACATAGACAAAATTAGAATGAAGTTAAAAGGGGAAAACATTACCTAGTAAAATCAGCAAAAAAACTTAGGACAAGCAAGTTCTCCTTTTTTAACTTCATTATTACTTTAACAAACTTCGAGTTGTCACTTACCTATGTGTAGATTGTTATCAACTGGTACGGGAGGCGGAGGGCATTTGGGCCGGATAGTAACAGAATTCCTAGAGTTTTGTTCGACACTGTGTTTCGGTGAATTCTTTTTGTCGTTGCCTAATGAATTCAAACTAGACTTAGAGCCCATGTCTGTGACTAAATTATCACTTAATTCAATTTCACTAGTGAGATAGAAAGTACTGCGAGGTTTATTTAGCTGTTGAGTCAATTCGTTAGCAGAATCTGCAGACAACGAGATGCTCTTCCTGAACTTTTCTAAAAATCTAGACTTTTTGATTGTACTATTTTTACTTCTGTCACTTGCAGTCTGGTCGGAATTATCGGTAGATGAAAATTCGACGTTTTGATATGTCACGTTTCCAGAATCCACACAACGCTCGGGATATCTCAGTTTAACTTCTTGTGTTATGTTATACATGGATTTTGATACCTCGTATTCTTGGGATACGTTTACTTTTTGAGATGACTCTGTTTTGTCATCTTTTGTCTTTTCCTCTAGAAATTTAAGGCAGAATCAGTAGTACTAGGAAATTTGGAGAAGTGTTAATTTGTTTTACCTGTTATGTCGGCGTCGACCCCAGAAAAACGTCTAGCCATCCAAATGGCGATGTCATTGTGGGTAAAATTTCTTTTTAACTTTTTCATCTTTTTACCTGCAGATGCGGCAAATTTTGTGAATTTGTATTGTTGACTAGAAGGCGGCTCTGGTAATTGGGTATCAGTAATATTGATGCCTCTGTTAATCTGCAGTAAAAGGAATTATTTGAAATTTTGAGAGATTAAACTACAAGAAAATAATTATTTTATTAAGAAATTCATTGATTTTGAAATTTGTNATTATGTGTAAATTCAATTTAAAACAAAAAAGAATTTTTCCTATGTTAATTAAATGGGAAACTAAAATAAAAATAGCGACCCCTTAGATTTGAGCTATAGGGCTCATGTTTGGCGCGGATTTTTTTTACATCAAACAGAAACATTTGAGGGGGTAAGTTAGAAAAAAAAATTAAAAATTTTGTTTGAAACACCCTAGTATACACAGATAATAAAAATAAATATCCAATAGAAAGCAACCTTTCAGGTATACCTTACTATTTCTCTATCAGTATAAAATTTTCACAAAATGTGAAAATGAACCTATCGAAAATCTGTTTGTGTAAGGATTCGTAATTTGTAATCGATGGTAGAGTACCTATTCTTCTTTCTTCTGCATGCTATAAATATTGAAAACAAGTGGACATTAGCCATGCAAAATTATTTGCAAACATAATGAGGTAGGTTCATTCGTTGTCTAAACGCGGTAGAGTTGTTTGTAAGAAAGTGTACGAATTGGCATTCAGCGCATAAAAAGTCGATGACCTAAACATTCGTGATGAGAGTTACGGGAGATTGTTGACATGGAAAAACCAGTTACAACCATTAAAATGTTTTGGTTTAACAACACATTCGCTATGCCAAAAAAAATGTATCTAAATAAAATAAAATTTGAAAGAAGCAACGAAATTGCATTAGCATATAATAGACACAATAGATTACATGTACGTTGTACTGCAGTTTCTTCGTTACAGTTGAATGAGCTATAAGTATGATAAAATCTTTAAAGAGAAGACTGCATGATGCGTTGTAAAGAAAAGTTGAAGAAACTGAACGAAATGCTTTAAGTCACTTAGAAAAGACACTTCCCTGTTGAACAGCGCTCGTCCATATTCAACTGGATTTAATTATTTTGCGTTTTATTAGAATCAAAACTGGCAATTAATTAAAAAGAGAAATACCGACCAAATGTTAGTTTGACAAAGGTTCCAAATCTTATCAAATATATCTACATGTACGCCATTAAGGGCGTCGCCGGTCAGTAGACTGGGGGAGGAGGGGGTAGAGAAGAAAAAACTATTAATTTAAACTATAACTGTTTGGGTTTCTTGGGAATTTTCCGAATTTATCCAGTAGAACATACTCCCAATGTGACCTATATCGACTCCTATGGGTCGACTCCAAACTATGAGCTGTCCATGTTAGTCAAAACAAAAACTCTTTATAACGTAGACAAGTAAACATTACTTTAGTTAGGTAGATTTATCTTACGATCGTAATAAACTCATTAATAAAACAGCCATTCGCTGTAATGGAATAATTCGCTACAAACGGAAAGAAAAAAGGAGAAAATTATGTTGGGAGACTTTGTTTAGCTTTAGTCTTTATTTTGACTGGCAGCAAATGTTGGAGGATTAGAGAATAATTAATTAAAAATATGCTCAATGTCTTCATCAAAAAAATCAAAGCAACTAATGCATGAAATTACAATATTACAGTACGTTTCTGAGATGTTTCGTATCAAAGCAAAATGACGTCTAATAGTAATTTTCAAAGATAAATATTAGGGGGTCACAATAAAGTTGATTATTTTCAGGGCAATCAAAATATATGCATGTAAAATTTTGTTCAAAAATCTATAGAAGATATGTAATGCAATTTTTAATAATGATATTAATTAAAACAGTGACTGTTTAAATGCAATATTAAAAAAAAGAAACTATATACATAACTCCTTTTGAATTTAAATTACCCCCCCACTTTGTGATATTTTTCTATGCATACTCGTTCTTCTGAAGGAGGCGGTTCTTTGAAATTTTTAAGTGCGTGAATCAAAACGCATGAAAAATTAATTTGCAATAATATGTAATTTGTTTTGCTTCTCGAAAAACGTAACAGAAAGTAATTGAAAATCGTATTAAAGAATTCTCATAAGTATTTAAGTACAAGGCAAGCAAAATTTAACAATAAAACTGATTCGACCTTGATTGCAACTTCGTTACGTATTAGATCATTAAGTAGATACGTTTTACCGACCTTTTAACACAATAGCAGCATTATCTGACTGGCAACACTAAATGCCTAGCTTTTCCGTAAATATGTAATTAATAAAAAAAAGCATTGACTAAACATTATTTAAATGATCGGAAGTACCTTCAGTTAGAATAAAATTCAAGAATAATTACATTTTCACGATTATTATTTTTAATTATATTCACGTGCTTATTAATTAAAACAAAAAATGCAGTCGTTAACGTAACAGTCCTGAATTTAGTCCTGAAGTTTAAACGCCGTATGTATGCATCTATATAAAAATCCACATTCAATTATAGTTACCTTTTCCAATTGTAATTTTAGTCTCCTTGCTTTTGCTCTCCAATGCAAGTATTTTCTATTCTTGTACCTTGTAATAATTCGTTTTTTAAGTTTCAACATGTCGAAATCAGCTGTCGTTTTGTAATGCACACAGGAATTCAAACGCACTGCACCGTTCTTTACTGCAATTTTATTTGTTCTCTTGTTTTCGTAGTACAACTGACTAATTGGAAAACATTTATTGCTGTCGAAGCATATTTTATAAAACGCGATTGTAATTTAATACTGGCAGATACATGTGTGTACGAAATGCGAAAGAATGATTAGCAATTTCCTTTTAAAATTTGCTTTTTCTTTAACGCTTGCCCGAGTATTATCATGAAAGTTTTCGTATCGGTTACCGGTTTAAGAAGTCCGCTCTATCATTAACGTACGCACAAAAAGGCGCTTTTTTAGTTATCAATTGACTGTTGTTAGCAATTTAAGTATACCATCGGGTACGTAAATAAAAAACTGTTGGGGACTTTCAAATGGGAAGAGCCTAAAAAACATGGCGCTGATAAGGGAACGTACCGTGCAGTTGTGGACTATTTAAAACGGTTAGGTTTGGGACGACAAAACCCTCAAAATTAAGGACGCGTATGTAATGTCGGGCATATTACACAATTCGGAAAAACCATACGTAAAAGTGAACCTTCAGGAACTGTGAATTTTAGTGCCTACTATTTATATAATATACACACTACAGTGAATAAATTTTCATTCCGGAATTATCTTCTTTGATAGCTGTTGCTTTCAGCGAAGTTTCTAGTTAACTTTCCTTCTTTAAAAAGTATCTTTTAAATCTATGTAAAACAGCTAGTTTGCATCAGAAAATAATGCAAGCACATTTTAAGGTTTTTGTTGTCGTTTTCGCGAACTACGTTATCAAAAATATTTTCTTTTATTTAACGCCTTTTATGATTTTAATAAACAGTTTTGCGACCCTTGGAGCATGGCACTGTGGGCAATATTCTTATGTAAATTTGTTCCTTATTCTAATTGCAAGCTTTCCCACTAGATGGTGTAGGTATGCCTATTTTGCAGATCCCAGTGCGAGCTGTTTGATTTTTAGATATCATGAAACTGATAAATCGGGACAAAAACAAAATATGTTCATTAGATAAAAAGTGTTCATTAATATTATCGCAAGTGGGGTTCGATTATTATTTGCAAGAAAAATCATATCGGTAATCGGTGAAAGATAAAGCAATACTATGGTAATATTTCTTTGAGTGCCAGATTATCATTTAAATAATCTAACTAAAGAATTGAAATATTTATTACTAGTTTAATTTTTTAANGCGGAAGAAACAATGGCAATAAAACAAATACAAGTTTTCCTATTTTTTTAACTATGCATCCGCGTACACGACTGAAACTGGTTTAGTTCGCGAGAAACACGTGAACTTCAATACGACTTTCACCTGTTACATATCAGTAGGTACTTACTCGGTCAGTTTTAGCAAAGCTGTTTTCGGATTCACTATCACTTTCGAATGAATCAAAATCTTCGGCAATTTGTAGAGATTCATCTTTTCGTTCGGGTAGACTTTCGTAATGATGGTCCAAATCGCTCTCCCCATCTGAAACAATATTAAAATTTGCGTCAAAATCAATGGAACATATACTAAATAGTTCGTTGCACGATAAGAACCCATATAAAAGAAATTCTGTGAAATCTATTTTTTTTATTTTCTCATCCAGACTATAATGAAAAGAAAACAATCCCTTAATTCATAGACTATTTTAATTTTTGTCTAATAACGTAATAAAAAAGGAGAAAATTATGTTGGGAGACTTTGTTTAGCTTTAGTCTTTATTTTGACTGGCAGCAAATGTTGGAGGATTAGAGAATAATTAATTAAAAATATGCTCAATGTCTTCATCAAAAAAATCAAAGCAACTTTCCATAAGTTTAATGTGATTATTGAAGCAGAATTAATTAACCAAATATCTAGTATGACTTGGATAAAACAATAAAATGCTATAAATTTTAGTTTATGTATTGCAGGGGTAGATAAAGTTAAAAGGGCGTCAGAACATAGACAAAATTAGAATGAAGTTAAAAGGGGAAAACATTACCTAGTAAAATCAGCAAAAAAACTTAGGACAAGCAAGTTCTCCTTTTTTAACTTCATTATTACTTTAACAAACTTCGAGTTGTCACTTACCTATGTGTAGATTGTTATCAACTGGTACGGGAGGCGGAGGGCATTTGGGCCGGATAGTAACAGAATTCCTAGAGTTTTGTTCGACACTGTGTTTCGGTGAATTCTTTTTGTCGTTGCCTAATGAATTCAAACTAGACTTAGAGCCCATGTCTGTGACTAAATTATCACTTAATTCAATTTCACTAGTGAGATAGAAAGTACTGCGAGGTTTATTTAGCTGTTGAGTCAATTCGTTAGCAGAATCTGCAGACAACGAGATGCTCTTCCTGAACTTTTCTAAAAATCTAGACTTTTTGATTGTACTATTTTTACTTCTGTCACTTGCAGTCTGGTCGGAATTATCGGTAGATGAAAATTCGACGTTTTGATATGTCACGTTTCCAGAATCCACACAACGCTCGGGATATCTCAGTTTAACTTCTTGTGTTATGTTATACATGGATTTTGATACCTCGTATTCTTGGGATACGTTTACTTTTTGAGATGACTCTGTTTTGTCATCTTTTGTCTTTTCCTCTAGAAATTTAAGGCAGAATCAGTAGTACTAGGAAATTTGGAGAAGTGTTAATTTGTTTTACCTGTTATGTCGGCGTCGACCCCAGAAAAACGTCTAGCCATCCAAATGGCGATGTCATTGTGGGTAAAATTTCTTTTTAACTTTTTCATCTTTTTACCTGCAGATGCGGCAAATTTTGTGAATTTGTATTGTTGACTAGAAGGCGGCTCTGGTAATTGGGTATCAGTAATATTGATGCCTCTGTTAATCTGCAGTAAAAGGAATTATTTGAAATTTTGAGAGATTAAACTACAAGAAAATAATTATTTTATTAAGAAATTCATTGATTTTGAAATTTGTAATATATATAAAAATACAATACTGACTAATAGTTATTAATCGTTTTATG